GGGAGAGGCCCCGTTTGGCACTCAGTCCCGGGACAGACTGAGCGGCACCAGCTGCCCCCTCCCCGACGCCAGGCTGCCGCCTTTTTATGGCCACGTGTCTCTAGAGCAGAGAAAATAGCCCCGGTCTCCGTGGTGTCCGGGAGGGGGCTGCCAGGGCCGCAGAGGGGAGGCGCGGTGGGGTCAGGGCCTGGAGGTGGCATCCGAAACCCGAGGCGGCCAGGGCTGTCGGGCTCCGGGGGGGTACTGAGCGGGGCGAGGGGCCGGCACGAGCGGCCCCGGGCCCGGCCGCCTCCTCCTCCCGTCCTGGACCAGCCTCAGACGGCCCTGCGCGGGGCCGACGGCCCAGGTGGGTGGCCGGACGTGAGCCCCAGGGAGCCCCCGGCACCCGGGGCAGAACAGGTGGAACCGTGGGGCGATTTGTCCCGGAACCCACAAGCCCTGACCGCGGCCGGCAGCCCCGCCGTGGAACGCGCCCAAGGATGGCAGGCACCCGGAGCCGCGGTCGCACCGGGTGGGCCCCACCCAGCAAAAAGGAAGGAGCCGCACACGGTCCGCACGCGCGCTGTCGGGGGAAGGCACAGCGGGGCGCCGGACCAGGTCTTCAGGTCTTGGAACGGGCGAAGTCAACGGGAGTGAGGCAGGAACGAATGAGAAGGGGGCGTCTGGGGGCAGGAGCGTGCACGTGAGGGGGCAGCGTTCCCTTCCAAAAGCTGCCGCAGCGGCCGGCCCAAACTCGCGTGCCTCAGGGCGACACAGACTGGCGGTCCCGCGGATCCGGAGGGGAGGGCCGCAGCCTGGGTCCGGGGGCCGGAGAGAAGGCCAGGGCAGGCCCGCTCCCGCATCTCCGTGGTCGTCCGTGTGCAAGGACCCTCGTGATGACCTCGGGCCCCCTGGACAACGCGGGACGCTCGCCCATCCCCAGAACCCCCTCACGCCTGCAGTCCCGAGGACCCCGCGGTGGGTACCTCGGGGCTGCCCGGCGCGGGCGGCCCCACAGACGTATCCGCAGGGGCCCGTGGGCCTGCGCACGGGGCCGCACCGCACCCCTTCCGTGTGTGTTTATTATGCCTCCAGGAAGACAAAGGCAAAATGGCCCAAACGGCAGGCAGCAGCGGGCAGCGTGCTGGGGAGGGGTGGTCTCGGGCCCCTGCACCGTGGGCCCGTCTGGCCCGCGCGCACCCAGCCTCCCGGCCCAGAGGCTGGTGGGTCTCCTGGAGAGGGGCGGGACCATGTCTGTGCGGGTCAGGACGGCGGCCTCGACTGTGGTCCGCTCTGACCCTTGCCCTCCCTCCCCCCAGGATACCGAGAAGGCTCCCTCTGGAAGCGAGGCCGAGACAACGGGCAGTTTCTAAGCCGGAAGTTTGTGCTGACCGAGCGAGAGGGGTCCCTGAAGTATTTCAACAGAAATGATGTGAGCTGGGCCCGGGGTCTGTCGTGGCTGCACGTGGTCCCCAGCTGCCCGCCCCCCTCCCCCCGCCCCCGTCCACCTCAGTCTTCCCCGGGGCCAGGCCTGGGTCGGCGATGCCAGGAACGGAACCAGCGAGCCCTTCCCTGCTGGGCACGCCCGGGCAGCGAGCAGGGGAGGGGCAGGTCGAGCCCCGCCCCCACCCAGACCAGTTCCAGATCAGAACGTGGCCCCGTGACACAAAGAGCCGAGGGTACGGTTGCCGGCCGCCCCAGGCAGAGAGGAAAGCCAGGCCGGCGGGACGGGAGCGGTGCGGGGGACCGAGCCCGGCCTTGGGCAGGGGGCACACGGGACAGAGGCGCTCGGCGCCAAAGGAGCGGAGGAGGGTCCACCTAGGTGCCGAGCGCCGGTTGGGAAACCAGGTCCAGGGAGGGTAAGCACCTTGCCCAAAGCCACAGAGCACAGCCAGCGCCCAGAGGACCGCACTGCCCGCTCCCCCGCCCGCCCGGAGCTAAGGCGCGGCCTTGCTTCCAGGCCAAGGAGCCCAAGGCTGTCCTGAAGATCGAACATCTGAACGCCACCTTCCAGCCGGCCAAGATCGGCCACCCCCACGGCCTGCAGATCACCTACCTGAAGGACAACAGCACCCGCAACATCTTCGTCTACCACGAGGACGGGAAGGTGGGTGCCGGGCTGCCCTCGTCTCGGGAGAGCCCCGCCCCCACGGCGAGTGCGGAGCCAGCTGGGCCCTCGTGGGGGACGGGGCCCGGAGGGGCCCACATGGGAGAGAGGGCCACGGTCTGGGGGCGTGTGCGCAGCGTCCTGCTCCGCGGCCGTCCCCGCTGCCTCCCACCCCGCACCTCTGCAGCCTGAGGGTGGGGGCAGCTCCCTGCAAACACCTCGGGGTCTGTCCTTTTGGCCACTGGGGGATTCTCGTCATTGTTCTTTGGATTTTGTCCCACGTTTGGCTCCAGACCACGTGCCCGTGGTTTCAAGGGCAAAACGTGTCTGTGAGGCTTCAGACACAAGCACCCGGCAACAACCTTTTCTCCTTTTATTGCGCTAAAATGCACATTCTCGCAATGTTTAAGCATTTGCTTCCGGGGTATTAGGTACGTTCGTTGTTGTGAAGCCGGCCCCCCAAATCTGTCTCCAGAACGTCCCATCTCCCCACGGTGACCCTGCCCCGGCCCCCCTGCCCCGCCGTCTGCTCTGTGAGTCTGACCACTGCAGGACCTCGTGTGAGTGGATCCCAGTGTCGGGTTCTCCTGCGTCTGGCTCGGGTCACTCAGCACCACAACCTCAGGGCTGTCCACATGGTAGCGGGTGTCCTTCCTTCCTTCCTTCCTTTCCGAGGCCGAGGGGTCGTGTGGATGGACCACCTGTGGTTTATCCCCTCCTCCTCCGACAGACCCTTGGGTGGCACCTGCCGGTGGCCGTGAACGCTATCGCTGTGAACGTCGAGGTACCGACACCTGAGACCCCGCGTCCGGTGTTTGTGATTATACAGCCGGGAGGGGAACTGTGGGATCGCGGGGTCACCGTTTCGTTTTTTGAGGAACCACCACACTGGTTTCCATGGCAGCGGCACCACTTGGCATCGCCATGAGCAGGGCACGCGGCTCATTTCTCTGCGTCCTCGCCAGCACCGGCTTCTGGTTTCTGATTCTGGCCGTTGTGATGTGTGAGGGGCCGGATCACAGCGGTTTTGACCCGCGTCTCCCTGATGATGCGTGACGCTGCTCAGGGGGAGGGGCACCTGCACGTTGTGTCTGGAGAAATGTGTACTCGGTTCCCATTTTCCCCGTTTGGGACTGAGGTGGGTGGTCTGTTGCCGAGATGTAGATTTTCTGTATGTTCTGGATGTGACGCCCTTATCAGATAGGTGATCTGAAAACATTCTCCCACCTGTGGGTCCCTGTTACTCTGTGGATAGTGTCATTCGAAGGACGCAAGTTCACAATCTGCAAAAAGTCCAACTTGTCTCTCGCTCCCTGTGCCTTTGGGGTCACGTCAGCACGATCGCGGCCGTGTCCGATGCCACGAAGCTTCTGCCCTGTGTTTTCTTCTAAGATTTGTAGTGACCAGTCTTACCTTGTCCTCGATCCACTTGGAGTTCATTTTTGTGTGTGGTGTGAGGTAAGGGTCCAACCTCATTCTTCTTCGTGAGGACGTCCACTTTTCCCAACACTTGGTTGAAAAGACTGTCCTTTCCCCCGTCGGATGGTGGTGGCGCCCTTTCTCAAAAAATAACGTAACTGCTCCCTGGGCTCTCGGTTCCGTCCCATTGGTCTGTGTGCCAGGTAATTTGGATTGCTGTGGCTTTGCAATAAGTGCTGAAATTAGAAGTGTGACTCTTCCATGTTTGCTTTTTAGAACTGTTATGACTCAGGTTCCCAGAGATTCTGTACGAATTCCGGCAGATGCATTTTACCCACCAACTGAGGTGGTGATGTCGTTTCCTCTTCCTTTACTCTGTTAATACAATGTATTACATTCATTGATTTGTTGAAAATTCCTTGCATTTCAGGAATAAATCCCACTCGGTCGTGACGTATAACCCTTAAATATGCTGAATCGTTTGCTAGTATGTGGTGGAGGGTTTTTGCGTCAGTGTTCGCATGGGATATTGCTCTGTGGTCATCTTCTATTTTTGTCTGGCTTTGGTAATCAGGGTTGCACTGGCTGCCTAGGAGTTAGGAAGTGTTCCCTCCTCTGCAATTTTTTTGGAGACGTTTGAGAAGGACTGGTGTGGGTTATCCTTGAAGTGTTTGGTGGAACATCAGTGAGGCCATCAGGACCGGGGTTTTTCTTTGTTGGAAACTTTAAAAAATGTTTATTTACTTTGATAGAGAGACAGAGTGAGTGAACAGGGGAGGGGCAGAGAGAGAGGGGGAGAGAGAAAGAATCCCAAGCAGGCTCCATACTCCGCTCAGAGCCCGATGCGGGGCTTGATCTAACAAACCGTGAGATCATGACCTGAGCCAAAATCAGGTCAGACGCTTAACATACTGAGCTGCCCAGGTGCCCCTCTTTGCTGGCAAGTGTTGATTCCCGAGGGGGGCTCCTTACTCGTTTATCGGCCCGTGCACACCGTGCATTTCTTCACGGGTTCGTCTTGGCGGCCTTTCCGCGTCCAGGGATTTATCCACTTCATCTTGGTTCCCCCGTCGTCGGCGACCTTGCTCACAGCGCTGTCTCCCGGACCCTTTGATTTCTGGTGGCAGTGTCCCCGCTTTTGAGTCTGATTTCAGTGGCCCGAGTGGGTTTCTCAGTCCGTCCGGCTCAAGGCTCGCCAACTGCCGCTCTTGTCGAAGAGCCGGCTCTTGTCGGTTTCGTTGACTTTCTCTCCTGCGTTTCTACTCCCTCCGTCGTCACGCTCGCTCCAGTCTCCCCTCCCTCGTGCCGGCCTTGGATCTGGTTCTTCTTTGTCAGCTTCCTTCCGTTGTCCGTTAGGTCGCGGACTGGACCCCTTCCTTGTGCTTTAACGGCGGCGTTTGCGGCGCCAGACCCGCCTTTGGCACCGCTTGGCTGCATCCCGTGTTTTGTGGTGTTTCGTCTTCCCCCATCTCCAAGTGTGTGCTCACCTCCCTTGCGGCTTCTCCTTTGGTCCACTGGTCGTTTCGTAAAAGCGCGTTGCTTCCACGAAGTCGTGGACGTTCCACTTTTCCTTGTGTTGACTTCTAACTGCATCCGCCCTGTCACGGCCAGAGAGGACACCTCGTAGGAGGCCGACAGGCGGCCTCACGTGGGGTCGGTCCCGTGCCGCGTCCCGTGGGCACCAGGCCAGAACGCGTCCCGGTCGGCCGGCGCGTGTGGTTGGATCTGGTCGTTTGTGTGAAGTCCTCGTTTCCCGTGTCGGACTCTGCCGTCCGTTACCGCGAGCGCGGTATCGAGCCCCCCGTGTGCTATTCGAGGCCGTTTCTCCCTTCACCTCCGCCGGGTTTTGCTTCGTAGGTCGTGACGGTGCGGCACGAGGCGTGAGCGTGTGTCCCGTCTTCTGGCCGCACCGAGGACTGATTAACGTGCAGCGTCCTCCTTTGCCCCTTGGGACCTTGCTCTGACTTCGAGTCTGTCTGTCTGGTGTCCGCGAGACGCACCAGCCTCCTGGCGGCTGTGTGCACGAATCTCCGTTCCCGCCTTTGACCGCCACCCCGTTGTGTCTCGACCTCGGCCGAGCCTCCCGCGGACGGCACGTGGCTGGACCACGGGCTGTCATCCAGCCCGCCGTTCCCCGTCTGTGGATCCCAGAGCTTCCCGCGTTCACCTTTCCCGTGGACGTGGATAAGGAGCCCGTCCTGTTGCGTGTGGCCTACGGCTTTGCTGTCCCTCACTTCCCGCATCCCTGTCCTCTCTCGTGTTGAGCTTCTGTAGTCGAGCGTTGAGAGTCCCTCCCGGTTCCCTTTTGTGTATGTTCTGTGGCTCTTTGTGGTCGCCATGGGGATTCCATCTAACATCCGAGATCTGTATAACCTCCTGGATCCAATTTATAGTAGCTGAACTTCAGGAACACGTGGAAACTGCTCCCTCACTCGGCCTAGACCACACCCCGTGGTTGGAGATGCCCCGGTCTTACCTCTTGGTACACCATGTGCCCGGAGGCATAAATAGTCATCCTTTCAAATGCTCTATCTCCTAGCGTACATATAAAACAAGATATGTAATCACAAACCAGTTACAGTTAAGAGTAGCTTTTAATTACTATTTGTTTCTTTCAGAGTCTTAGTCTTAAGTCACGTGAAGAACCCAGCGTATAGTCAGAGCCTGTCGTTACAGTAACACTAGCTTTTGCAACTGCCCCAATGCTTCCCTTTCCCGAGACCTTTGTTTCTCCGTGTAGCTTCGAGTTACTGTCTCATCTCAGAGGAGCAGCTCTGTTTCCCCAGCTGCAGGTCTGTCCCGTAATAAGGCCTTTATCATGTTGACACACGTCCCCTCTGACCCTTCATTTCTATCGTGAACAGACTGTACTTTGTCAAAAGCTTTCCTTTGCTTTTTCTGCATCTGGTGAAACGATCATGCGGTTTTTATCCTCTGTTTTGTTGACGCGACAAACCGTGTTGGTTTGTGACTGCTGAGTCACGCTGGCGTCCCTGGAATAAAGCCACTTGATCAAGGTGAATGATCACTGGATTCGATTTGCTGGTACTTGGTTGAGGATTTCCGTATCTATTTCTCAGAGCTCTTGGCCTGATGTTGGCTAACTGTGTTTGGTTTGCTATCTGGGTAATGCTGGCCTCACAGGACAAATCTGGAAGCTTTACTTCTGTCTTTTGCAGTAATTTGAGAACCGGTATTAACTCTTCTTTAAACATTCGGTAGAATTCACTGGTGAAGCCGTCCGGTCCTGTAATTTTGTGCACTTTGAGATCTCTGATCACGGATTCCGTTGCGTTACTGGTCGCTGGCACGTTCGAGTCTTCTACTTCCTCATCTGGTTTTGGAAGATTGCACACAAGGTTACGTGCTATTAACAGGTTGTAGGAGGGATGTGGCTCAAGGCGTGTGAGCCAGTCTTCAGCTCCACCCAGAAGCTTCCACCCTCTCTCTCCTCAGGAGACTGAGACCGGGGCCTTCCTGTACGTGCGGCACGCGTCTGCAGCGGTGCCTTCCCCGAGAGGGTTGTGCGCACCTGCTGGGGCCGGGCCCTAGGCCTGGACGCAAGGAAGACTGTGTGACGTGGTTCTGCCCTCAGTGAGCAGGTGCACGATTTGTCAGGAGAGACAAGTGGCTAAAATCCCACCTACATTGAGGACTGGAAACAGTGACTGCGGGGGAGGGGACCCACATCCCAAGGGTGAGGACAGACACCGGGGACGGCACGTGCAACGTCCCCGGGGCCAGGCGAAACGGGAGACGCTGGATAAGCTGACAAGGCTGAGATTGGCAGGAGAGGAAGGGCACGGGCTGGGCCGACCCCCAGGGCCTGCGGCCACGCTCTGGACTCTCGCCTCTACTGGAGGCGCAGCAGCGGTTTGCTGGGAAAGCGTCACCGAACTGCCAGTGACTCGCCCAGCTGTGTGGTTTCGATGATCCGAGGGAGGCCTGACGTGAGGTGGGAGGCCAGCGCCGGGGAGCAGGCAGGAGACGGTGCCTTCCGGTCTCCGGGGCTGGTGAGGAAACGGGAGAGCCCAGTGGTCACTGGAAGGGTGAACGGGGTTGTGGGCGGGGCCCAGGTGGAGGTCACGGCCTGGACTGGACGTCCTGTGTGGGAGGGTGGGGGACAGAACAGAAGGGGACACTAGCCGGCCCCAGGGGCAGGGATGGTTAGAGGGCGTGGGATCTGCAGCAGCCAGGCATGGCAGAGGAGGGAGGGGGGCGGCTGTGGCCGAGGCGGGCGCAGGGTGACCCGTGGGCAGGAGCGGGCTGCCCGGCGGTCGGGGAGAGGCGGCCCGATGGGTACCAAGCGCTGGCAGGGGCAGGAGCTGTTGGGGCTCGTCCGAGGTTGGGGCAGATTCCAGCATCGGGTGGGCGGGGGCCCAGAGCGGGGCGTGGCGGCCAGGAGAGGCAGGGGCTGGGGTCCACCCTGCCCGGCGATGGGGCTCCCTCCCCTCCCGCAGAGCAACCCTCTTGCTCTCTCCCTCAGAGGACAGGGGTGGCAGCCCCGGGTGGGGTTACAGACAGGCCTCCCTCTGGGCCACGTGTATGCTTTGTAACCGCAGCTCAGCTCCGTAGGAGAGGAAAGGAGCCGCCCAGAGCCCGGGGCAGGGTCAGCTCGGGGCCAGGGGCCGGCCGGCTCGGACGTCGCCACCCCGACCCTGGGCCGGCTCAGGGCTGCCCCCCCGCCCCCCCCCAGCAGGCCTCGCCCAGCACACAGCCTGGGGGGCAGAGCTCACGGCCCAGGCCCACACCAGCCTCTGACCCGCAGGAGATCGTGGACTGGTTCAATGCGCTCCGCGCGGCCCGCTTCCATTACCTGCAGGTGGCGTTCCCGGGGGCCAGCGACGCCGACGTGAGTGGTGGCTGCTCGTGGCTGTTGGAGGGGGTGAGGGGCACAGCCCGAGCCCGGGATGCTGGGCCGGGGGGCTGGCCGAGGGCCCCCATGGACGCTGCTCCTTTCTGCTGGGGCGTTTCAGCTCAGCGGCCATGAGAGTGGGACGGAGGGGCTGGGACACGCGGGGGGTGGGAGGGGACCGGGAAGGCCTAGGCCTGAGCCTGTCTTCTGCCCCAGCTGGTGCCAAAGCTCTCCCGGAACTACCTGAAAGAGGGATACATGGAGAAAACCGGGCCCAAGGTGAGTCTGACTGGCTGACCTGAGCCGCCGGGGCCTCCTTGGAGGCCAGTGTCTCAGCCTCCAGGGGCTGGGGTGGCCGTGCAGGGTCGAAGGGTCAGCGACACACCTTGGCGAAGATTCGCTGTGCTCTCGGCACGCTTCGAACGGGTCATCTTGACCCCAAAACCTTTGTAAGCAGGGGCCCTGTGGACCCAGGACTGTGGGGCTCTGGTTAGCCCTACCCACTCAACCTGGCTAGTGCAGGTCCTGCCTCGTGCCTCTGCCCGTCCGTCTGGTACCTGTCTGTGCACCCGCCTGGGGCCCCCTTCCCTGCCACATGGAGGCCCGCACGCAGTGACCCCACGGCCCAGACAGGACTCTGAGGCTGAGCCCCAGCTGAGCCCCTAGGGAGGATCAAGATGCACAGAGCAGCAAGCAGGGGAACTGGTGGGGAGGGGAAGAGAGGGGAGGGCACAGAGGTGGGACAGTGCAAGTGCAAAGGTCCTGGGGCACCATCTGGCGGACGGAACAGGACGCAGCAAGCCTACAGAAGGCCCGAGTGAAGAAGGGACACAGGTGGGGGCCCTGCCCTCAGGCTAAGTGACCAGTCCCCGGGTTTCCCTCACAGCAAACAGAAGGCTTCCGGAAGCGCTGGTTCACCATGGACGACCGGAGGCTCATGTACTTCAAGGATCCCCTGGTAAGGACGGGCCTTGGCCCGGGTCAGCTGGGCCCTCACGGGTGATGCCTCCTCTCCCACGATGACAGGCCGAGGGCTGCCGGCCACGGGCGGCGGGGAGAACATACGGGAGGGGAGGGCCGCATCATCCCCGGGGCCTGGGCTGCCTGGCCCCGAGGCTCAGCCCGGCCCCGACCCACAGGACGCCTTTGCTCGCGGGGAAGTCTTCATCGGCAGCAGGGAGAGCGGCTACACGGTGCTGGACGGGCTCCCACCGTCCACCCAGGGCCACCACTGGCCACACGGCATTACCATCGTGACACCGGAACGCAGGTTCCTGCTGGCCTGTGAGACGGAGTCAGAGCAGCGGGCGTGGATGGAAGCTTTTCGGAAGGTCGTGGACAGACCCATGCTGCCCCAGGAGTACGCAGGTGAGTGCAGGGGGGCGGGGTGGGGGTGGGGG